AAAACCAAAGACACAAGGGAAAGATTAGTCCAAAGGACTAATGGACCACAACTACCACAGCCTCCACCAGACTGAGTCCAGCACAACTAGATGGTGCCCGGCTACCACCACTGACTGCTCTGACAGGGATCACAATAGAAGGTCCCGGACAGAGCTGAAGATAAATGTAGAACAAAATTCTGGCAAAAAAAGACCAGACTTACTGGTCTGACAGACTGTAGAAACCCTGAGAGTATGGCCCCCAGACACCGTTGTAACTCAGTACTGAAGTCACTTCTGAGGTTCACCCTTCAGCCAAAGATTAGACAGGCCCATAAAACAAAACAAGACTAAATGGGCACACCAGCCTAGGGGCAAGGACAAGAAGGCAGGAGGGGACGGGAAAGCTGGTAATGGGGAACCCAAGGTCGAGAAGGGGAGAGTGTTGACATGTTGTGAGGTTGGCAGTCAGTGTCACAAAACAATATGTGTATTAATTGTTTAATGAGAAACTAGTTTGCTCCGTAAATCTTCATCTAAAGTACAATTTTAAAAAAAAAGTTGTATCAGAAGATTAGTGGTTCAAACTCACTAAGCCAGTCCTCAAAAGAAACGCCTTGGTATCTGCTCCCTTAAAGATTACAGCCAAGAAAACCCTAAGACTGGTTCTATTCTGTAACACATGGGGTTGCCAAGAGTCAGAATCTATTCAATGCAACAGGTTTAGTCTGCCCTCTGGCTCCCAAATACAAAGTCTATCCCTTCCCCTCAAGGTTCCCAAGCGTCTTACCTCATTACTGCATTCAGTTAAAAGTCCAGAATCTCAGCAAAATCTCGTCAGTTAAAAGTCCCAAATCTCCTCATCTAGGTCTGCTGAATTGGGTATGAATGAGGCTACTTAGGATAAGTCACTAGGTACAGCTCCTGGGCTCCTCCTATGGGCGTGTGAGACTAAAGAGAGTTTGCAGCAACTTAGAAGGGAAAAATGCAACAGCAGGCTTTTTTTTTTCATGGAATTCTCTTTTTAAAAGATGTTTATGAGAATTGATTTCTCTCTCCTTTTTTTTCTCTCTGAAGGAACAAGCACATAATGATTGATTTAGGGACTGGTAACAACAACAAGATTAACTGGGCTATGGAGGACAAACAGGAGATGATCGACATCATAGAGACCGTCTACCGAGGGGCACGCAAGGGTCGGGGACTGGTGGTGTCTCCAAAGGACTACTCTACCAAGTACAGATACTGAGTTTTCCTGGTTGCCTCGTGTCCGGCGCTCTCACTGTTTCTGTGTATGTGAGTGTCATGGAATCACTTAAGCTATTTAGAGCCTTCGGGAAATTGATGGAAAAGTACATACAGCTCAAGGAACCAGAGTGTCTTTTTGATGTAAGGATTGCATAGCCTTAAGTTTTCAGTCTCCCTGTCCATTGTATTTTTATATTGGAAAATATCTGTAAATAGCTAACTGAAATAAATAAAACACAAAGTTATGAACAGTTATAATTGTTTGTTTTTAAGAAACTTGATGTATGGATTACTGATTTTGGTAGCCTAAATTAATTCTTATCTTTACCACTGGGATAAAATTAATGAGGCTGATAGGTTTTACATATTGGCAGTGGCAGTCCAGAGCCTGGAGTCCATAAGGAATACACAGTTAGGATAAGAATGTCTTTTAATCTTATTCTCCTGATTATTAAAACAATGTAATAAAATATTCTATGGAGCCTTCCCTTCAAATTTGAGAAAGAGAGCTGTCTCTTACTTCCCCTGAGATTGTGTCAAATGTACTTAAACATACGGCATTTTTTTGTAAAGTCTGTAGAAACCATGACCCTTTAGTCTTTATAGCTAAAAAGTTTCTTATTACAACTTCAAGTTTCTCTTGCTAGATCCCCTGTATCCTGGCATATGCAGAATAGTTGGTTGGGACCCTTTGTCTTGGCATATTCAGAATGGTTGGTTGGAATCCTTTGTCAAAGCATATGTGGGCTGGTTGGTTGGGATCCCCCACAGTGCATCTCAGCACACACTTAGAATGGTTGGTTGGGATCCCCAGTGGTGCATCTCAGCACACACTTACACTTTGCCTGAACGCCCAGTGTGGGTGGGAGCACAGCCCGGAATCTCTATCTGGGTTCAGATCCAGGCTCTGCTGCCCAGCTGGTCAGTGGCCTTGGACAAGGTACTTCCCTTCTCTGTGCCCTACCCAGCTATGAAAGGGAGATGACAAATATGTTCCTACATGTAAACCACTGAGGACAGTGCCTGGGAGATGTATAAGCCATGCAAAGTGTTTGCCGCAATTGTTTGATCCAGTTATTGTTAAAGCATGGGGAGCACTTACACAGTATGAAGCAGATTTTAAAACATGTCTAAATCTGGCTTTAAAATTCAAATGCAAATCTACATTTTAATCTCTGTAGCCTTAATTCCCCCTTTATAAAATCGGGAGTATAATACCATATCACAGTATTATGAGGTGGTACTGAAAAAAATCTGCGTGAACTGTAGTACCCGGCATATAACAGACATTCAATATTATACTTCTGCCATTTCTCCAAAGAAGGTAAATGGCCAATAAGCACATGAAAAGATGCTTAGCATCATTAGTCATTAGGGAGATATTTATCAAAACCACAAGATACCACCCTACAACCCACTAGGATGTCTGTTACCAAATAAATGGAAAATAACAAGTGTTGACAAGGATGTGGAGAAACTGGAACCCTCATCCATTGCTGGCAGGTATATAAAATGGTGGAGCCACTGGAAAAGTTTGGTAGTTCCTCAAAAAATTAAACATCTAACTACCATATGACCCAGCAATCCCAATCCTAGGTACATACCCACAAAAAGTGAAAGCAGGAGCGCAACAGGAAGTTTGTACATTAGCGTTCACTGCAACACTGTTCACATTAGCCAAAAGGTGGAAACAACCTAAATGTCCATCAGAAGATAATGGATAAGCAAAAGATGGTATAGTCATTCAATAAAAGCCATAAAGAAAAATGAAGTCTTGATAAATTCTACAACACGGATGAACCTTGAAAACATTATGTAAGTAAAGTAAAGTCAGTCACAAAAGGACAAATACTGTACAGTCCCACTTATATGAAATATCTAGACTAGGCTAATGTATAGAGACCAAGGAGCCTTGGTGGTACAGTGCTGAAGAGCTAGGCTGCTAATCAAAAAGGTTGGCAGTTGGAGTCTCAAAAGCTTGTGAGCAGCTATCTAAGACTCCGCTGGTCTTACCTGGTCCGGAGCAAGGGAGAATGAAGAAAACCAAAGACACAAGGGAAAGATTAGTACAAAGGACTAATGGACCACAACTACCGCATCCTCCACTAGACTGAGTCCAGCACAACTAGAGGGTGCCTGGCTACCACTACCGGCTACTCTGACAGGAATCACAATAGAGGGTCCTGGACAGAGCCGGAGAAAATGTAGAACAAAATTCTAACACACACACACACACACACACACACACACACACACACGGACTTACTGATCTGACAGACTGGAGAAACCCCGAGAGTATGCCCCTGGTCACCCTTATAGCTCAGTAATGAAGTCGCTCCTGAGGTTCACCCTTCACACCCTTCAGCCAAAGATTAGACAGGCCTATAAAACAAAACAAGACTAAATGGGCACACCAGCCCAGGGACAAGGATGAGAAGCCAGGAGGGGACAGGAAGGCTGGTAATGGGGAACCTGAGGTCAAGAAGGGGAGAGTGTTGACATGTCGTGGGGTTGGCAACCAATGTTAGAAAACATTATGTGTCTTAATTGTTTAATGAGAAACTAGTTTGCTCTGTAAACCTTCATCTAAAGTACAATTTAAAAAAAAAAGGGCAGTTTGTATCCACCAGCCACTCCTTGGAAACCCTATGGGGCAGTTCTACTCTGTCCTATAGGGTCGCTATGAGTTGGAATCCACTCTATGGCAACGGGTTTAGGGATGGAAGGGAGGGAGGAGGGTGGACATTGGAAAACATACTGTCTTTGTTCACAGCCATCTTTGTCAAGTGGTTAGAAACATATCAAGTCACCTTCTGAATTATATTCTTATTGCATTGCCTTTGTTCTTTTAATCTTTTATTTTACTAATACATTTTAAAATTACTGAAAATCAGAAATCATGTTATGTAGATTATTACTCAAAAGAAATTTTCATTTGATCACATTTTCAAGTGACTGGTTTAATATCTTCAGGTCTGTAAGAAAAAATTTGAAAGAGGTAAAGATTGATTTATATACCAGTTAATGCACACTTAAGTAAACTCAAAGCCAAAGTTGTCAATAAAAGTACCTTAATTTCCTGTAATTATTAAAACATTTTTGTATAGGAAAAATTCGGTATACAGAAAAACAATGTTAAATTATTTTCATTTTAGTTAGATAAGAGTCAATGTGGATTCAAAGCTCAGAGTGAATAAACAGTATGTACTCGTCAAACTAAGCATTACTACTGTATCAATATTCCACTTCTGTAATTAACCATTAACGGTGTCCAGGAAATCATACTTTTTCAACATTATGCTGCCTGTCTGCATTTTAATTAAATGCAGAAAAGGTGTAACAGATGTTGTCGTTTAATGAGGAGTCTGATAAAATGTCAAATCCATCAGGATATAGAACAGTCGTCGTCAATATTTCAGGGTTACAAGCTCTCTTCCCATTCACATCGCCCCGACAGGAACACAATTGTGGGAGATTCGCAGAATCTGTGAAATCTAAGGCATAAGGCCTTTTTGTTAACCCTGATGTAGTGCAACAATAAGCACAAAGTTATCCAAACAGATTTAACCTTACTTAGGTCTTTCTTTTCATTTAAAAGGCATTACAAACTTTTAAATTTTTAGATAGCTGACCTTCTTTCATGCTATTTTAAATAGTTGCTTTATGTGCATCTAAAAAAGAGAAGTTTTGACACCTACTAACCATTTAGTTTGATTCCCAGTATTTGGTGGATTTTTGACCAAATGTGAACTGCCCACTGGAGCTCTGGGGGAGTGGAAAGGGACACTTAATTCTTGCATGACCTAGCCTGTACCTGGCATTGCTCTCAGCTCGGGGCGGGGTGGGCAGCAAAGACAGCACAGACATGGAACTGCCCAAAAGGCACTTGCTCTTGGCGTTGTCTGCTTTGTGTTTAATCACCTTCAAGTGACTTGGGAATTTTATAGTGGGAGGGTGGAGAAGGCTAAAAGGCTTCAGGACCAGTGGGACCTGCCTGATGTAACCTTAATAGGTAAAGCAATATTTTTCACCCTACAGACAGAATTTTCGAGTGCCCCTCACCCCCCATTTTGCAGCTCTTGTGTAGCAGGACACAGGCTGTGGTTGTCTTACTTACCAGAATGCAAGATTTAGATATTTATAAATCATTTATCCGTGAACTATCTCTGATTTAGCAGGATAAGTATGGATAATTTGCCAGCTGACTTAGGATAACAGTTGTCAGCGAACGAAGTCATTTACATTGTTCAATTAAAATATGCTTACGTATTCAGAATATTATATCAGGAAAATGTGCATAAGTATTTAAATAAAATAAAGTTGTGTATCTCATATGTGTCACACGGACATACATCCAGACTGGGCCCTGAAACAGCATTTATTTTATCTTCAAGACAAAGTCGGAAATTCCGTTAGAAAAGACGTGTCAGTTTTATGGGGGCTGGGGGCAGGGCCCTTGGGACCACTCATGGAATGTATTAAAAATTTAATGTACATATGATTTCTTTAAATGATTACATGAATATATTCTGTCAAACCATGAGTTATAATCCCAAATCTCCAATTCACTGTGATCTGTGTTTTGACTGAAGACTAACTTGAGGGATGGAGTAAAAAGTACTTTAATAAAATCTAATCTGTAAATATTTAAAGTGTTTTTCATTTAAAATGTGTGATTTTTAAGGAATCACGAGAAAGTTTATTTTAGTCAGTCTATTTAGAAAATACCATTTGTAAATATCTTTTATTATTCCTGAAAATTTTTCATGTATAGAAGCAGTAATTCCATAGCAAACAAATATGGGATTGTATTTTTCAAGATGAACACAATCAAAAGACATGCAAAAGATAAACAGATGTGGTTTCATAATAATGATCTTACCATTTGTTCTTTAATAGGATTTTCAATCCCAGCTTGCACCATTAAGTCGTTCACATTCTTCTGTAAGTCGTCAATACGATTTCCCATTTCTTCCAGTACCATGTTAAGGAGAATTCATGGGTAGAACTCAGTACAGAGGCCTAAAAAAGCCTCAGAGACACTGCTTCAGCTTGCCCCTGCTCCTGCTGGTACTGACAAAAAAACTGCAGGTCAGAGGAGACAATGTAAACAAATGGCAGTTTTTAAAATAAAGAAATCAAAGATCATAATGTCAGTGCTAATTAGTTACTTCCACTGAGGTTTTTTTTTTTTTTTTTAATGTGCATATTTAAGCTTTAAACTTGAAAGCTCAATGTGTGAGTGTGGTACACTTTGTGGAGCTTTTGGTGTTGTAACACTGGACATGATGTCAGGGAGATGAGATTGTCTGATGTGTTTTAGCCAAATTCTAACGAGTATGTAACTATAATGAAAATAAATTATTTTTTAAACTGACTTTGCTATGGCAGTTTATTAGGGAAGTAACAAGTTCAGGAATGTTCAGGGTACAATTCTTCGATTGGAACAGCCTCTTCTTAGCCATGCCTGCAGGCACACCTCTCTCTGGCCCCTTGGCCCGGCCTCTACCCTGCTCAGGTAAGTGTTACAAAGCTCTTTTAGCTCTGCTGATATGTACCTGGAGGCACCCCACTCTACCAGTAAGCCTCAACCGGAAGGTGCTCAGCTTTCTCGCTCTGTGGGTGGGAAGCCCCACCGCAACCATCTGGCACTGGTCTCCAGATTCCCTCTGTTTTGCGCAGTCGTTTCTCACTGTCTTCCATGTTACAGCTCCTCTCACTGTCTCCTGGATCTAGGAGGTTTTCAGTGCAGGGATCCCAGGTCCAAAGGATGTGTTCCACTCCTGGCTCTTTCTTGGTGGGGTTGAGATCCTCCCTCCCCACCTCTGGGATGGCTCATTTTAAGCCTAGCAGGATGGCAGAACTGACCAATCCCCTTGTTAGGGTTCCATACACCTTATTTGCATGGTCCCACCCCACAAAGGTGCCATGCACCTTATTTACATTATTAGCAAGCTATCTAATCCCCTTGGTGGGCCACAAGCACCTCATTTGCATAGTCCCACCCAGTCGTTTGGTAGGAGTTATAAAGACTGTGGCTAGAAGGGGCATATTAAGTAATTCACTGCATTGCAATGTTCAACCATCACAATTGTTCCCAAATTTTTCCATTACCCTTAGAAGCTCAGTGTCCCCTAAGCATTGTGTCACATACAGTTTCTAAGGAATATATTTAGTTGTGAAAAGTGAACTCAAACTGGAAATTTATATTACTCAAAGTTGGATTCGCTCAAACTAGAAACAAACATTCTATCTTAATTCTGTTTGATTTCATGTTTCTAAGACAAAACTGTGTGAGCTGCTGAAGTTAAAGATGAAGGAGAACCATAGCTAGTATTCTGTGTTGGAGACCTTCATTATTATGTTTGTAGATTTCTGAGTGTTACAGAACGACAAGCCGAGTGTTATAGGGCAAATAAACCAGATTTAGGGCTTTTGAAAAAGCCCCATTTGGTGGTGGTGTTGATTGAATTGTGTCCCCCAAAAATGTGTGTCAATTTGGCTAGGCCGTGATTCCCAGTATTGTTAGGTGGTCCACCATTTTGTGATCTGATGTGATTATCCTATGTGCTGTAAGTCCTAACCCCTATGATGTTAATGGAAGCCCTGGTGGCGCAGTGGTTAAGAGCTATGGCTGCAAACCAAAAGGTCGGCAGTTGGAACTCACCAGATGCTCCTTGGAAACCCTATGGGGCAGTTCTTGTCTGTCCTATAGGGTCTTCGCTAGACTGCATTGGGTTTTTTTTTTAATGATGTTAATGAGGCAGGATTAGAGGCTGTTATGTTAATAAAGCAGGACTCAATTTACAGGATTAGGTTGTATCTTGAGTCAATCTCTTTTGAGATACAAAAGAGAGAATTGAGCAGAGAGGAGAGGGACCTCATACCAACAGGAAAGTAGTACCAGGAGGGGAGCGCGTCCTTTGGAGCTGGGGTCCCTGCTCTGAGAAGCTCCTAAACTAGGGAAAGATTGATGACAAGGACCTTCTCCCAGAGCCAACAGAGAAGGAATGTTTTTCCCGGAGCTGGCGCCCTAAATTCACACTTCTAGCCTACCAGACTGTGAGAGAATAAATTTCTGTTTGTTAAAGCCATCCGCTTGTGGTATTTTTGTTATAGCAGCACTAGATAATTAAGATAGGTGGTACTGTATGTTGTGTTCCTTGCACTTTGTACTTGCCATACGGATGTCCTGTATTGTCTGCCAAACAGGAAATCAAGTCTTCTGCTTGAGGTGAATGGTAATTAATACATCAGGGTGCCACGTAGAAATGCAGGTGTGAGTACTGGGAAGCCCTAAGTAAACAATTGTCCACTAATAGCAGACAACAAAAATATATTCCACTGAGAATTTGAACAGTCTAAAAACATTATAATATTTGTTATAAGAAAAGGATATTTCTGAGGTTTAATGTTGCAGTCAGAGCTTGAAAATGTTCTTGAAGTTCTTGAAATAGATTCTCTGCCTGATAAAAATGAACCACAAGGAAACAATATAAAATTTCCGGTTGGTGTAAGGCATTTAAAAAGTCATGGAATAGACACATAATATAAGGTCAATTGAATTTTGGCAAAGGTGCAAAGGCCCTTTGATTCAAAGAGCAAAGGAAAATCTTTTCAACACACGGTGCTGGGACAATGGAATAACCGTGCATGAGTAAACAAATAAGCAACCCTGACCCTTACCGCACACCATACACTAAGGTAAAAATGGTCGTACACTTAAACATAAGAGCTAAAACTATAAAACCTCTGGAAGATAACATAGGAGAAAGTTAGTAACCTCGGGTTTCTCAAAGAATTCTTAAACAGAACACAAAAAAATCACCCATGGCTATATCCTAGGAGGTATCTCCTCTTCTACACTTGTGGATATTTATTAGTTAGTACAGGAATTGCAGATACTGTTTACCAGGTCACACAGAAATAGCACTACTACTGACATTTCATATTTACATACTGCTTCGTAGTTTGCACACTAAAATCCCATACCATGAATTATATCATTCAATCCTCACAACTTTGTACCATCCCCATGTTAGAGATGAGAACACGCAGCTTAGAAGTGCCCACCTGTGGCTTGGAGCAGGTTGGTTTCCAGTCACAGGAGACCTCTGGGCCATGTTCTCCTGTGTGCCTCTAGAATTTGCCTTTATAGATGAAGACGCCTGGCCCTGCCTGTCTAGATGCTTCTCCTCCGTGGGGTTCTCTACCTTTGGCAGGGGGATGTCCATGAAAGTGCATAAGACATCTAACAAACGTTTTTAACCCACAGATTATCAGCCTTTTAAGCTCCAGGGGACTCCTGGAAGGAGCTCTGGTGGCACAGTGGTTAAGGACTCTCCTACTAACCGAAAGCTTAGCTGTTCGAGTGAGAAAGATGTGGCAGTCTGCTTCAGCAAAAATTTACAGCCTTGGAAACCCTATGGAGCAGTTCTACTCTCTCCGATAGGGTCGCTATGAGTCGGAATCGGCTCCACGGCAACGGGTTTAGTTTGAGATTCCTAATAACAGTATAGTGGAGCCGGAGCTTGCTTTAGCCCCCAGGAAACTAGAAGAGGTGGGCACAGGAGGGGCGCTCAGACCAGGCCCATGCGCAGCTGCCTGCAAAGGGTTTCAGAGAATCAGTCAAATGCCCAGTGCAGCCGGGGGTAGCTTGCTGAGTCACCCCGAAATGCATGGGCTGTTCCCTTCGTGTTGTTTCCTTTAATTCTAACATTGTTCAGTCTCCTGGGGGGTAACGCCCCGCGCACCCTGCACCGTTCTCGGCATTAGCCCGGAGGGAGGTTGATGGGTGGGAGGAGCGGTCTCAGGGGAGGGCGGGACCCGCGTCCCCTCCGGGGGGCGGGAACCCAAATCTGTCGCCTCTCAGGGCGGGAGCCCTCATCTATCCCCTCCGAGGGCGGGACCCTGTCCGTCCCGCACCCCGCTGAGGGGCGCCTGGGCGGGACCTAGGTCTGTCCCAGGAAGGGACGAAGGGGACATGAGCACGTCTGCTCCGGGTGACCCTCAGGCCCGCAGGAGCCCCCGGGCCGCGCCCCCAAGATCAGTTTGGGGACGCTGACGCACCACAGGGGAGGCGAGGACCGGGACAGGGTGAGGGGCCCCCACTCACGGCGTCCCGGAGCGGCTCTGCCGCCGGATCCGGCTCCCGCGAGTCCATCGCGTCCCCGAGTCACCACAGGCGCCAGCGAGACAGGCTGCGCGGGCTTACGAGAAGCCGATGTCTACCGAGTGAAATATTCATGAGGAGTTGATGCGCTCTCGGCAATGACGTTGAAAGTGTACCCAGCAATTAAAAATTTAAAACTGAATTCCTGGGCAGGTGGTGGGGGTGGGGCAAGGCCATTCACGCTCAGGAGACACTCCGAGGAATTCTCTGCGAGACCCCCGGTCCTGCTCCCGGACCACCAAGGAGGGTGACGGAATGGTAGGCTCATGAGGTGGGCGGGGCACCTGTGGCACTGAGGGGGCAGGTGTACCTATGGCACACGGTGCGGGGGAGGGGGACAGGTGTACCTGCAGCGGGGGGTGGGGCAGAGTGACGGATGTGCTGACCGCCGGCACCTTTCGCCTCCTTCTCGGTCTCCGCACATCCTGGCTTTCGGACGGGCTGGGATCCTGCACTAGGGACTGAGGCCGCCCTCGGAAACCGGCCTCCGGTCCGGTTTTGCAACTCATCATAGATTCCTTAATTACCCTGTGGAACATCAGCCGGTTTGCTTTGCTTTCCCTTACATCAGAGATGGTGCCCGCGTCTTACACCAACAATGCTTAGCTGGAGTTGGCTTCAGGTAAAGAAGAGATCGAAGCGGGTCTTGCTGCTTGTCTACTCACTCCAGCAACCCACGCAGGCCCAGGTGCGCTTCTGTTCTCAGAACTGTAATCACTGAGCAATGCTGGAGTCTGTCCCCCTTTGAATCTCTGCCATTGCTGTGAGTGTCACCTTTAAAATTCAGAATAGTCATGTTTGTAACCAATTCCCGACACACTTCCAAGACTCCTCCGATTTTGATCTCCTTGGAGATCTTGTAGAGCTTCTCATTTCGCAGTTTCTGGACCGCCCTTCAGATCCCTCGTGGGTGACCTCCCAGGGCCTTGCTGTGCCCCCTCTGGACTGGAAACTGAGTGAATCTCAGGGCCACCCCAGGATACCCAGAGCCCAGCCTAGGACAATATGGAGGCTGGTTGGCTGAATGTGTGGATAAACAAAACACCACGGAGGTGCAGGAAAATGCTCATGAAGAGATGCAAATCAAAACCTCCCCCAGATACCACTTTACACTCACTAGGATAGCTATAATCAAAAAGACAGACAATAACAAATGTTGTGGAAGATGTGGAGAAACTGGAACCCTCGTAACACTACCGTGCAGTCGCTTTGGAAAACAGTCTGGGAGTTCTTTAGAAACATAGAATTACCATTTGACCCAGCAATTCCACTCCTAGGTATATACCCAAGAGAATTGAGAACATATGTCCACACAAAACTTGTAGACAAATGTTCATAACAGCATTATTCACAATAATCAATAAGTGGAAAGAGCCCGCTGATGAATGGATAAACACAATGTGGTACATCCATACAATGGAATATTTTTGGGCCAGAAAAAAGAATGAAGCTCTGATACATGTTATTACGTGGATGGACCTTGAAAACATGAAGCCAATTTAAAGAAGCCAGAACAGACAAATCTTAAAGACAGACAGTATATCAATGGCTGTCCAGGGTTGGGGCAGGGGATGGGGAGTGACTGCTAATGGGTAGTTTTCTTTCTTGGGTGGACAAAATTGTTCTAAAATTAGATGGTGGTAATGATTGCACAACCCTGTGAATATACTAAAAACCATTGAAATGCATGTTTAACTGGATGAATTTTCTGATACGTTAACTATGTTTTAATAAAGTTGTTAATAATAATAATAAAAGCACGGCCATTTTGCCACTTTTTGCATATTTTAACATCTGCCTCTTCCTCCCCGCTCCCCAAGAGGGGCAGAGTTGGGAAGGGGACGGCCTGTGAACACCGGGGTGGTGAATTGTGGGAAGAAAGTTTCAGACTCCACAGGGCGGGCCATCTGCGCTCTTTGGGGAAGATGAGCGTTGGCGATGGCTGGCGCTCAGCCTGGGGTTCCTCCCTAAAGGATGGCTTCGTGCGAGGGCCCCGGAGGTGGCTTCTGTGTTCTCTCTGAGGAGGCGGCAAGGTGGTCTGCTGAGAAGGTCAGGAGGAGAGGACGGGGCGTGAGGAGGCGGGGTCAGGAGTGGAGCGGCAATGCCTTCTCACCAGGCTCCCGACAGCACCTCTGCCTGAAGCCGGGACACGGTGGCGCCAGCGTGCGCAGAAAGGGCCTTGAAGATCCCCTCTCCTCCGGTCCCCTGGATGGCGGAGGAGACGCCGGCCTCGTTTCGGTACAAAGCCATGCTGGTGCCCTCCTTCTCTTGTCCGGTACTGGTCACCTGTGAGGATGACCAGGATGCTCAGTCCTGGAGCTCGGAGGGAGCCCCAGGTCACACACCGGGCTATCTGTGGTCGAGGCCTGAGGAATCTGGGCGAGGCGTGGCAGGGTGATGTGCCCAAGGCAGCGACTTCCTGAGCGAGGAATTGTCTTATGAAGTAAGACTTGAGTTTCTTTGGGATAAAGTACATCTTCCCAGCCTCAAACCCCATGGACCTAGCACAGCCACCAGTCTCTTCCCCTCCCCTTTGTATTTTTTAACATGTTTTATTTTTCTCAACTGAAATCTCTCTGGCCCAATAGAAACTACACAGAAACTTGCCAACCCTTACCACCTAATCTCCACTGGAGAGCCAGGGCCTGTTGCTCTATCCCTGGCCCCTGGGGTGGTTTTCACCTGCACAGAGTCAGAGGCCAAGTTCTTGTCCTGTCTGCCCCAGAGACGACTGTGGAGGTGAGACTCACTCAGTATAAACCGCTGTTAAACGTGATAACTCTCAGGAACTAGCTTCAGGGAATAAAAATCCTTTACTGCAGGCGATGAGTTCATTTTTGAAAGGCAACTCTTATTTTCATTATACAAGACACAAGTTTAATAAAAACTAAAGCAAACCCTGTAGGATTTGTCAATATTTAGACAGTTGTCTTATATCTTAACTTTAGAGAAAATCTCTATTTCAAAAGCCTTTTCTGGAGTTTCTTCTTCTCACACCCATGATGATGATTAATAAACAATAATAAAACTATGTAGCACTCGATTTAATCCGTAACTGTTTCTCTACTTCTCTAAACCTCACAATTCTATTGATGGGATGGTCTCAACTCTTAGATTTAAGAATTTGGAATCAAATCCTATCTATATGCTTACTAGTAGCTGGAGACCAATTCTAACAATCAAATGTCTCTAGGGTTGCAGGAGGAACAAAGCCAGAGAGTGGGGGTGTGGGGTGGGGTAGGGATGGGGCAGGTCTGTGACCAGGCCCTGTCTCTGCTCTTCTCAAACTGCCTCAATGGTAGCAACACCCCCGGAGCTTCCAAAGTGACCGCCTTTTCCTTTAATAATAATTGCTGGTGGCAGGAGCTCAGCCAGGAGACAGTCACTCCCATTCCTGAGTTTACAGATAGTGGAGATCATAATTGGCAGACAAACCTAAAAGTTGTCTGTTTTTGGCTTGATATAATTATTTGTAGATTGGCTGTGCTTTCCCGTTTAGGATGTGTGTTCGGCTGAGGATGAGGGTAGAATGCGGCCTTCCCTCACTTTATGCCACCAGGAAGTGTTGAAGCCCCTGTACAGAGGGAGCTGCCCAGGGCGAGCCCAGCCTTGGAGAATGTCAGAGTGTACTAGGAAGCTATAGAAATGAGACGGTGTTTAACCAATGCAGGGATAGACAGGTTAGGGGAAGAAAACAGGGTCTGAGTAAGACCCCAAAACCATATTTATGAAATCAAAGACACAGACACACAAAACAGAAGCTAAGTATGAAACAAAATTTTAACTAATAAAGAAAATGGAAACTTTGTTTTCGACCGGTGAGAACATCATGACATAAGCAAATGTAAGGTCAAGTTCAACCCCGTGAAGTGCAGGTGGCAGTGGGAACCCCAGCACTGAGTTCAGTGTGAGCCTCACTATGAGGGGCTCCTCATCACCAGCAAACGGACACCTGCTGCCCACGACCTGCTGCTTCCAAGTGTCACCTATACTTGTAAACAAACACCTGTATCATTATTGGAGCTGGAGACGGACACACGGTGTTTTCATTGTACTAGCCTCTCCACTTTTGTATGTTTGAAAATTCTCATTAAAAAATTCTGTAAGAAAAAGAGCTGTTTTAGGGGGAGTATATAGATTTGGGTAGAAATTATTTTTTTCCTGTTGCTTTTTTATTATTCTAAAATAGTTGCAATATTTTCATAATTTTAAGTTTCATTTTTAAATGCAATCTTAGTCAAACATTTTTTAATCACACTAATTACTTACTATGAAAATTTGGTCCCTTTATTGTAAGTGGCCTCTTCTGACACAGTTATCTTTGAGTAATGAGGACCTCCTGTGAATGTGAAAACAGTGGCTGCCAAGCCCCCAGGGAATGTTGAAAAGGCTGTGCCCAGACTAATTACAACAGCACCTCTGGGCTGAGCCCAGGCATTAGTAGCTTTTAAAGCTCTCAGGGGTTTCAAGTCGACCAACCAGTTCAAAGCCTGGGGAATGACAGCAACACTGTTAGAGAAACAAGGAAGGGGAGCCGGCTTAAATCTCCCTATAAGCAGAACTACCACCTGTCTGTCAGTTTGTCATACGGTGGTAGCTTGCGTGTTGCTATGATGATAGGAGCTACACCATCGGTATTTCAAATATCAGCAGGGTCACTCATGGTGGACAGGTGTCAGTGGAGCTTCCAGGCTAAGACAGACAAGGGGAAAAAAATCTGGTGACCTACTTCTGAAAATCAGCCAATGAAAACCCTATGGATCACAACAGAATATTGTCCAATTTAGTGCTGGAAGATGAATTCACTAGGTTGGAAGTCACTACACAATGGCCACAAAAATGGACTTAAACACGCCAGCGATCATGAAGCTGGCACAGGACCAGGTAATGTTTTTGTTATGTTGTAGATAAGGCCACCATGAGTCAGACCTGAGTCAATGGCAACTTACAACAACAACAGCAACAATTTGCTCTACTATTTGATTACCCAGTGGGTACAGTTTATATGTAAGTAAAT